ATAGTAGGAAAGAATGACATGCTTACCTCATGCTTCGTCAATTCTAGCAGCTCTATGGAATCAAGTACAGCCAGCTTAGGATGAGATACCACAAGAAAGGATAAATTACGCATGCCCCGACTTATAGACGAACTTATACGTCATCTGGGAAGCCCTACAGATCATCATCAGAGATACCGCAAACATTTTCACAAAATTTAAGCACGACTTCCTCTATATAACTAAAATTTCATTTAAATAAATCATTTCCGCTACTTTCTTTGTAACTTTGTTCCTTTGTTCAGCCTAGGGCGCAAATTTGTCCAATCAGGGGGCCTTCTTGAAGTACTAGGTACTCAGTCGATTTCTTGTGAATACCTAATTATACGGTTTGTGTAAGATGGCCCCCTCATTCCCATATTAAATCAAGCCGTACTTCATCAATCACGTGGTTTAGCTACAAAAACTTATTCTTCCATTTAAGCTCGGGCGAAAAATTTGCGACTAGGTAGCAAATTCGACCAATCAAAAAAAAAAAAGGATTTGCACACTGCTCCAACCGTGGAACGAATCTCAAAAGTCTACAATGATATAAGGTTTTTCTGATGATGTTTTTATATCATAGTATGATTCATTTATTGTTTGGGATATTGCGGTTGATTATTTTTTTATTGTTTTTAATAATCCATTTAATTGGATTTTCTTTTCATTTGTAAGCACGGATGATGAAAGCACATACAGATGGTTTGACCCATTTAGGTGCATCTTTCTGTCAACGGGATGTCCTTGATGAAGAAGGATCATATTGACGTGTTATTGCTATTGTTTTCTTTTGTTGTTGATATTTTGTGGTAGATAATAATAATAAATAAATATAACAGCAATTGGTGAGCATTAAATTGAAAATAACAGTGTCATTACTTGCTTGTGATAGACAAATTTGGGAAAAAAGATATATTTTCAACAATTCATCAACGTGACTATTCAATTACCGTCTAATGTTGTAATTTATTCCTTGGTATGTTTGGCTAAAACGTGGTCCATGTCTGGGCGATATTTATGCAGTAGTCATGTTTACGATCGCATGATCAAACGAACTTACCTAAAAGTGATTTACGACCTTAGTTGTGTGAAGGCCTCGTTGAAGTAAATAGAACAGATTCATTCTCACGTTTCCCGGCCAAATCTACGAGTTTAAAGAGCGCACGCAGCGAAGAAAGACGGCTCGCTACAAACTCTTATTTTCTCCAAAGCCAAGTTGTTGCAACAATTGGGTGACACATAGGAAGACAAATAGCTATATACTTCGATGAGGCCTTCACATAATTAAGATTGACCATCACTTACAAGTCAGTTAGTTTGGTCATGTAATTATGCCCCGACCTCGTCTCGTAAATAGAACAGGTGTAGATGTTCAGAGTGACTTGCAACGACATACTAATAATGATCTGCAATAGTAAACCATAGGTTGTACACAACTACACAAACGTACACAATGCATGAATCAACTAAATTTACATTTGCATTGCAACAACTTAATTTAGGGCTTTTAACAGCACGTAATATGACGTTCATAGGCTCAAAAATAAAAATACCATATGTTGGTAACAAGCAAATAACGCTTGGCATAAGAAATTTGTCAGGTGTCTCAGAAAGCGCGCACCAGCCCGCCATGAGTCTGAGAATACTATGAGCTAGCCGGCGCTAAGGTAGACGCGTTTTGTGTACTGTGGGCTGTCAACTGTGACACATCTAGGCCACTCTCTGGTGAAATAGACCATCCACATATAGTGGGAACAGAGGCACAATGATAAAGTTTCTTTAGAGTGACATATAAATACTTTGGCTGCATGGATATTTGGGCAGAAAATACGCCTGTTTCAATTACGGGTAGAGGTTGCAGACTCTGACCGAAGGGTAGGAATAGCAGTGTTGCGGACTTCCTTATCCGTATATCTGCAGAGGTCACCAGTAACCCCGCTAGTTGGTTTAGAACAACCACAATATCTAAAATGGGGCTATGTTTCGGTTGAGATGGTCTCAACCTGCAAACGCCCTTCAAGAACCATCTTACGCCTGCCTCGTTAGTAGCATTTTGGGTAAAGGACTGACAGTTGACTTATAGCAAATCAAACAATTATACCTTAATCTCTTATCAAACTGTAAGGTGAGAAATTTCTCCCGACAAAGGTCTTACCGTAATTCAAGCCCACAATCATATGATGGATTATAGTTGCTGATCGGAATGACAGCTTTCGGGGGACGACAACCAGAGTAAGCTTCAGAATTAGTGAGAGCGGGGTCCTCTCCACCAGGATACAAAGGCTTTCACACTTTGTGCTACTTCTAGAAGCGAAATTTCAGGCACACCGAACACATGAATCAATATCACGACGAAGACAAGTAGAGATCCCAGTTTGTTTCCATGTCTTACTGACGCAAAAGCGCATCTGTATTAATATTATAGATTTTATTTGACGACGGCAGTAAGATTTATCTTTTTACACAACTGCCACAGCTCTCCTGCAACCAGGTCCAGGCGTGGAAACTAGAAGAGCTACCCATTCTATAGATGTAGGATATAGTTGTCGCGTTATCGATCGGGTATAATATTCGACAGCCCTTCAAGTCGCGAGCAAAACATTCACGACCGAAGAAAACTGCCAGTAGTTCCAGATGGTTGGCATACGGGATCTTCTCCTCGGCTGATCAAAAGCCATGACCAGCGAATGTTTCAGCCCGAGAAATTATACAACTGAAAATGGAATGACTCCATACCCCTGACCGGATCTGCCAGTTTATTGTGCAGACTTTACTGGTATAGTAGCGTTAAAATTTCATTGAGAATGTTACAGGGCAAGAAATCTCGTTACCGTATAGTCAGCTGTAACGAAATGCGACACAAGCTGACACCAAGTTCCCGATGCATACCGCAAACTCTGGGACTCTGTTTTGCTTGCTGTCCATTATTACCCTTACTAAGTTTAGTAATGTCTGCCTCTTCCGCTCAAGTAAAGATACTTCCTTCCTGTCTAAATTGAATACTGGGCCTAACATTGCATTATTGGTTGGACTGTGGAAGCTTTATAAATAATGGAAAAATATATAATATATACGTATATGTATATATATATACGTATATAAAGATACAGTTTTAAATAAATTAAGAACAACAAATGAACCCTAGTTCATCGATTTATTTGTTCTTGGAGCGTCCAACCCTATTTTTTTCAAGTTGTCGGTTCACTGTTTACCAACCTTCTGACGTTTGCGAATAAACCTTTTTTTTGTTGACCATAAGACCATACTTGGCCGCTACGTTGCCCAAAGCGCTTCCAGTGTTGTTGTAGGATCTTAGCCATCACAAGCTAGGTACAAGTTACCATCACAGGCAATTGAGTTCAGTGTTGAGTCATTGGTGTCTTGGTGTGGAGCTGACTATTACAAGCCAGGTCCACATTGCTATCTCAAGCAATCGAGGCCAATGTTGCAACGTTATCCCAAACGTCCTTGTTCGTCCTTGGTATGGAGTTGACTATCACAAGCTAGGTCCAGGTAACTATCCCAAGCAACATAGACCGGTGTCGGAACGTTATTCCAAACGTCCTGTCAGGCACAGTCTGCAACGCCGCTGATGCATATGGATACTGCACTAACATTCACCTAACTGCATAAACTTGTACCTAGAATAGATCGATTAGTCGACAAGTACCTGATGGTTACGCCCCTTCAGAAAGAGTGGCCGGCACGAGGCTTTCCGAGTCTGCATCTGCTGTGATTAGTAATGCACGTATAAGGCGCTGCTCCGCGATGAAAGGAACCCTGAAGGTGACCGTCCGTCGGCTTCTCGCCGACATTGCACATCCTAATTACACTGATAAATACAGTATTAGTGACATGACAATTTTTGGGTGTATCATGTATTCTGAGACCCTTAAATCAAATCTAAAAACAAAATTTTTCTATCACCTACAGATATTCGATAACATCTACTTTCATGAATTACAATACGTAACATCTCATATTGCTGCATTTCTCGGCGTTTATGCGATGACACACATATATAATGTTAAGACCTGTCTATTCCTGTTGATTATATGCGAGCTCTATGTTTAGAGAGCATATTGCGTTTATTAGTAGACTAATCCAGCCGAGTCAGTTACGTTTTCTTTGTTGAAGAGTACTGAAATGTTCTGAGTACTGTTAATTTTTGTTAAAACGGTGTGTTGTTTTTAGTTTATTGTGATCGAGACTAGCTTTATGGACAATGCCTAGAAATTGTATAAATAGTGCGAACAGTTTTTGTTATGTGTGCGAAGAGCTACCTTTGAAATCCCCCATTGTAACACTTGTGTAACGTTGTCAACAGATTGGTTTAGAGGCGACAATCGTAAAATACGTTTTGCAATACCAATGGTTTGGAGAGATCCGAGAGACCATACTACTGCTATTGCTATTTTTGCCTCACAAATATTAAAAGTATTGGACCAAAATCGAAACATACTGTTAAGTATTTTAATTTACCATCAACTTTGCGGCCCATTAAGCATAGTGAAGAATTTTCTGTCCCAGTTCCACCAGAATCTTGGTCTTTGGATGAAAAAGTCGAATCCAAAGTGATGGTACAGGAAGCGTAAAAATGTCCGCTCCTCCGTTTGACCTTTTAGGATGTTCAACAGCGCCGGATTTGATCATACAGGGTGAACTTAATGACTTAGTTCGAGAATTAAATCTGTCAAAATCCCAGTCAGAACTTTTAGCGTCCAGATTAAACCGATGGAATCTTCTCCACGGTGATGTTAACATTACTTTTTATCGAAAACGATAACAAGACCTCACACACTGTTTCCGTCAAGAAAGGGAGTTGATATATTGCTCCGATGCCAACAATTTGTTTAACGCGTTAGGACAGAAACATGATCCAAATGATTGGCGCCTGTTCATTGATTCCTCTAAGCTTAGGGCACGTCAGATGACACGCGCTCAACGCGCGTTGAACGCGCGCTAAATTTTTGTATAGTGTTCACATGACACGCGCTTGTCAGGCGTTGAACGCGCGTTACCGCGGCCGCCATGGTTCAGTCAGTAGAGTTGTTATATTTGTCGAAGATGGACGTAGAAACAGTTTTAACGGTGATTTTATACCGACGATGGCAGAAACGACGCGACAGAAGACGGAGATATTGGGTCCACCCAATTTTGTCACACAGGCTGACTGAAAGCCAGTACATAATTTTGTATCCTAAATTAAGGCAATTCGGACCCAAATTTTTTAACTACTTCAGAATGTCCGTCAAGTCATTTGATGACTTACTGGCTCTCATAAACGATGAACTCGTAGCAGATAAAAACGCTGTGCGATATAGCATTTCACCAGAAGAAAAACTCATAATTACATTGAGGTAAGTTTTTTATTAATCAAAATATCTATAAATCAAATCAACAAGGAAATATTTTTTTTTAAAGAAAAAAGAACATTTTGTTATTCGCAGAATAACTCTAACTCCGATTCATTGCTGGCATTAGTTGTTGCTGGCGATGGAGTGTGTGTTACTGGCGATAGAGGTTCCAGTGCTGTAGTATAACCATAATGTGCTAAATTATTTGGCACACTAGATTGCTGTGATCTATAATCATGATGTTGAAAGCCTTCAACAGAAGCTTGATTACGCTGCTCTTGTGATAAATAACTTCTTCGTTGTGGTAACGGGTTACGATAATTTTGATTTTCAAATGTCTCATGTTGCGGTCCTTGATGGACATTTTGGTTTTGCAAGATTAAATTATAAATGCAAATTTTAGTATGAAGTCGTCTATATTCCGGGATTTTTTTAATCTCTTTAACGAGTGACAAACAAAACAGCTTGTCTTCATCGTTATCTTCTTTTGGATGCGAAGCATTTTTCTGTGCTAAACTCTGCTCTAATATGCTTGCAAATCTTTCGTCAGCAGAACTTATTTTTTGTTTTTTTCTTGGAGTAGATGTATTAGGACTCTTAAAGGCAGAACTGACTTCTACCTCAGCAACTTCTGAGGAAGCTGATGCATTATCTGCATCGAAACTACTTTCTGTATCATTGTTGGCTATAAATTTCTGTAGAAATCGTAGTCTATTATAATGAATATATGACGAAGTTTTGGACGCTCCTGATCCAGATTTAACAGTCTTCATTTTCTTCACCTCTCTCATATAATTATCTCGTAAACTCTTCCATTTCTTTTGCAGGGATAACGCTGAAAGAAAAAACATTATTTAGTAATAGTTTGTTTTTTTCAGATATTTGGCCACAGGATGTTCACTTGGGACATTAAGCTACGATTATAGAATTGGAAAATCTACTGTGGCTACTATAATACCACATGTATGTGAAACTATTTGGAGAAAATTGAGACCCATTGTTATGAGTGAACCAACGAAAGAAAAGTGGTATGAAATATCCACGATATTTGAAAAGAACTCAAAGTTTCCAAATTGTTTGGGAGCCTTGGACGGGAAACATATACATATACGGTTAATCCAGCCTGAACACACGGGTTCCATGCATTATAACTACAAACACTTTTTTTCGCTAGTTTTATTGGCGCTAGCGGATGCAAACTTTTGTTTTGTGTGGGTTGACATAGGTGCCTATGGTAAAAACAGTGACTCAGGTATATTCAACAATTCATCATTGTACAAAAAGCTGACAGAAAGGTCATTAGACCTACCTGAGCCAAAGGCATTGTTAATACAAAATAGACCGACAGTGTTGCCATATGTGATAGTGGCTGATGAAGCTTTTGGCATGATGGAGAATTTAATGCGGCCATATGGGGGAAGGTCACTAACTTATGCTAAAAAAATATTTAATAACCGTTTGACATTAGCACGCCGGTATGTTGAATGTACTTTTGGTATAATGTGCAATAAATGGCGCATTCTACATAGGCCGTTAGATGTTAACATCGGTTTTGCAGAAAAGATCGTAAAAGCGATATGTACACTACACAATTATGTCAGAATGAGGGATGGCTACAATTATGAAGATACACTTTATACTCCACCACTGGAAAATGTAGCCTCACATTATACCGGGCATGCTGTGCGACAGGCGGATAATGTTCGAGTACATTTAACAAATTATTTCATCAACGAAGGAAAAGTTGATTGCTTGGATCGCAATATTTAATTTGTAACACAAACTGATTGTAAATGTAAATAAATATACTCACATAATAATTTCTTCTTTTCCTCATTGTCATCTTCACAGAATATAAGGACGAGTTCTTCCCAAGCCCGTCTCTTTAAGTTCTTATCTGAATAATCGCTACTTGCCATGTCCCATATCGCAGGACGTTTCTCTATTTCATCTATCAATAATTCCGTATTAAAAGCTTCGGTTTCCATTTCGGACGATTTCTGAACGAACTGGTACTGATGAACCCTAAAATACGTCTATCCACATCGAAAGCGCGCGCTCAACTGAACGGAAACATAGAAAACCAATGATCTCAAAGCGCGCGTTGACGCGCGCTGACAACAGTCGAGCGCTACGCAGCGTTCAACGCGCGCTTTATTAAAACGTGCGTCAGCATGTGTACGGCTTGAATAAAATGTATGTAGTTGTAAACGCGCGTTATCAAAACGCGCGTTGAGCGCTTGTCATCTGAACGTGCCCTTAGTTTAAAAGCGGTATCGGTACACAACGGTAATAAATATCCATCTGTACCGTACGCAGTTCATATGAAGGAAACATATGAAAATATGCGAGTTCTGTTAGAGCATATCCGTTATAATGAATATGGATAGGCCATATGTGCAAATTCAAAGGTAATAGCCCTTCTTCTTGGAATTCAACTGGGATATGCCAAATATTGTTGTTTTCTTTGTGGATGGGACAGTCGTGCGCGAGATCGTCATTATGAACAGAAGGAGTGTTGCTTCCACCTTTGCATATTAAGTTGGGACTAATGAAAAATTTTATGAAAGCTATGCATTGAAATGGAAGAGGGTTTCTGCATTTAAAACAAACATTTCCGTGAGCTAGTGAGGCAAAAATTAAAGAGGGCATATTTTTGGGTCACAGATACGGTAAATCCTGAAGGAAGATGTATTTGACAGTGCTCTAAATGAAACTGAATTTTTTAGGCAATGTGCAGGCGGACAATTATAAAGATATTGTAAGTGACCTAATGAATGCTTATAAAGGAATGGAATGTCACATACCTCTAAAAATTCACTTTTTGGATTCTCAACTCGATTTTTTTCCGGAAAATGTAGGTGCGGTAAGTGATCAACATGGTGAATGGTTCCACCAAGAGATTTCTGCTATGGAAAAACGGTATCAAGACAAATAGGGTGTCAATTTGCTTGCTGATTATTGCTGGACATTGTTAAGGGATACTTCAGGAGCAACATATCGCCGTAAAACATCGATAACAACATTATGAGATTAATGTTTATATTATGTTTTATATTTTACGAGTATAAGCAGCAAATAAAATGCCTTATTGCAAGAAAACCGTGGCTGATAGAAAAATCAAATGGTATTTCCGGCTTTTTGGGTACGTTTTACATAATAACCACCTTGTTTTGTCTATTGCACAAAAAAATTTTTTTTTATTTTGTTCACCAGTGTTATCGGCCCACCTTCGCTCCAGTTGTCTAATATTTGTACTTGGCGATTGCTGGTATGAGCAGTTGTTCCTTTGTTGTTTCTTATGTTTGGGCACCTCGACCCTGCTGAAAATGTAAAAATCGGTGCGCGAACTAACGTAACTCGAGGTTTACCGCATGGCACGAGAACAAGGAATGACAGTTTGTAGACCAGGGACCGGAGAGGAGGAAGGTATAGTAGGCGCACGCGGTGAGCCGCTTTTCTTCGCTGGGTGCGCTCTTTGAACTCGTGAGTTTGGCCGAGAAACGGGATACTACACCTGTCATATTTACGAGACGAGTCCGAAAGCTAATACAGGTTCATGCACGTAACGTATGCATATTCTATTGATAAAAAGTATTTATTTTAGCTAACATCAGAACAGCTGTCCAGTAATTGCCACATCAAATTGCTAAAGGCGAAGTGAAGCTCAAAATGCTGTAGATTTAGAAAATAAACGTTGTAGCAACTACCACTGATTGGAATTAAAGACGCTTGTTTCTTAATATATTGTAGAGCACTAATACAGAGAACCTACACAGAAAATACATTTTCGTGCCTCGTTTTATGAAGGCTTTATTTCTAAATGCAATACTGATGCAGTTATGTAAAATCGCGATCTCTTCTGCATGGGTGGTATCATTGACTCCCTGCTCAGCCACGAAAACTGGCCCTAAAGACGTGTTAGCATAAATATAGTTGAAAATGAACATTTTTTTTCACGCCATTCAAGTAAATTGAGTATTTACTCGATGTTTGTTAAATAATAAATATTCTTTAATTAGATACATGTCTTCAAAGAATTTATCAGGCAGAATTTTGAACAAAAATCAACGATATAATTTGGCTGCTATAGTACACAAACTCAATGTTCATATTCGGAAAATGGTACCTTTGGTGCTTTCTCCACTTGAAAATAGATGTGGCTACAAGAATCGTATTTCAACAAAAGGAGAAAAATATGTTTATAATGGAAGGTGATTATCTTTCTTTCATTGTTCTTAGATATTGATGTTTGATTTTGACTTGGGTACGAACCTAGATATGATTTGCTATTCATTTGTAAATTTTGCGGCTGGAATCCAATGGAAAAGTACCAGCTACATTATAAAATATTTTTTGATTTAATATGGAAATTAGGAACCCATTTTAAGCTACGTAGAGACCGAAAATCCAACGCCGAGCAAACGAATGCAAGCACATGTGACATTGGCGTTTGTTGTTGGAGGGGATTGGAATGCGCTCGTCTACACGTCGCAGGAGCGAACGCAATCGAATCCCATTGCCGCGCTTGGAAACCGTAAGCTTATGATGGCTCGCATCGTACGCACCGATTCGAACACATCCAAATCTGTAACCACATGCGCCTTGGTTTGCGTTGGAATCTCGGTCTGTACGCGGCTTTACACAAATCGTATAATTTTTCTCTAGTTTGAGAGATATTTATTTCATAAGAAGTCGACTATATTCATTAGATCCATCACTTCAAAAACGTCACGTGATTAGAATTTGATCAAAATTTCATTTCCGCGGGTTAATAGCAAAATTGGGCCTTAGGACTTCATATGCATATCAGCATGCATAGGTAAAAATTCAAGTCAATTATTATCTGTCAAAGATATGAGTTCTCCAGAATATTTGAGTATTTTTTAATCTATATAGATAACAAAAGCATGCTGTGTTAATAAAGTAGGTACTTCTGTTACGTTTTTGATACACGATGTGACAAATGGCTAAGAACTTCCTTTTCTACTTCAAATATCGTTTTTTAATCCCCCGATTCCATGACGTAGTCAAAGGAAACTGAAATCTTTACTCTTCTCTTGTACATTGGGCAACGTTATGTTGATCTTAAAACACAGAAAATCAAAATGATTTTATTTTGGTTTTTATATCCATATACTTTTGTCTGAAATGTAACCAGGAACGTGGTTAGCGCTACTTGTAATTCGAATTGAAGATTACTCTTATCAAATTGAGAGGTCCTTTTGGAAAATCGGTTTTCTCTTTCAGCGTTTACAGATCATGTCCTTATGGTCATCCACTACTGAACTTAGTACCTTTGTTCACAACTCAGCGCTCTGAGTATTATTCAAACGCATAAAATTCGATATATACTAAGTGACATATAAATCCAAACACCCAGTTTAAATGGTTTTATTTTAATAAAATTTTGTATAAATACTTAATGAAGCATAATAAGTAAATGATAAAAATTTCAAAATGATTGCACTGATGTACTACGCATTCTCCAACGCGCCTAGGCATGCTTCTGATCAGGTAGTCAATGTCCTCCTGTGGTATCTCATTCCAGGCAACCACCAACTCCTCTCGAAGTGCTTCTAAAGTCTGAGGAGGACGTTGCAAATTGAGCAATATCCTACCCATCATATCCCACACGTGCTCAATTGGAGATAAGTCGGGAGATCTTGGTGACCATGGTAACAATGTGACATCATTATGTTGAAAGAAGTCTATTGTGACTCTTGCAACATGTGGTCGGGCATTATCTTGTTGGAAAGTTGGATCTGCCAGGGTGTCAAGATAGGGTAAAAGATGGGGTTCTAGAACTTCGTGGATATTACGCTGCGCGTTCATGTTACCTCTGATGAAGATTAAAGGTGACCTGGAACCATAAGCTATAGCACCCCAAACCATAACTCCAACAGTGTGATGAACATGTCTTTCAACAAAAAAATGGGGATTCCTCCTTTCACCACGTCGCCTTTTAACCCTTACACCGGCGTAATCGCTTTGAGTGGTGCAGACAACGGTCACTCTGGGATCAGGAATGGAACAGTATTGTCTTTAGTGACGAGTCTCGATTTTGTTTAGGCATGCACGATGGTCGTGCCAGGGTTAGAAGGCGACGTGGTGAAAGGAGGACTCCACAGTTTTTTGTTGAAAGACATGTTCATCACACTGTTGGAGTTATGGTTTGGGGTGCTATAGCTTATGGTTCCACGTCACCTTTAATCTTCATCAGAGGTAACATGAACGCGCAGCGTTATATCCACGAAGTTCTAGAACCCCATCTTTTACCCTATCTTGACACCCTGGCAGATCCAACTTTCCAACAAGATAATGCCCGACCACATGTTGCAAGAGTCACAATAGACTTCTTTCAACATAATGATGTCACATTGTTACCATGGCCACCAAGATCTCCCGACTTATCCCCAATTGAGCACGTGTGGGATATGATGGGTAGGAGATTGCTCAATTTGCAACGTCCTCCTCAGACTCTAGAAGCACTTCGAGAGGAGTTGGTGGTTGCCTGGAATGAGATGCCACAGGAGGACATTGACCACCTGATCAGAAGCATGCCTAGGCGCGTTGGAGAATGCGTAGCACATCAGGGTGCATCCACACATTATTAAAGGTCAAAGGGCTTTAAAGCAGTGCAATCATTTTGAAATTTTTATCATTTACTTATTATGCTTCATTAAGTACTTATACAAAATTTTATTAAAATAAAACTATTTAAACTGGGTGTTCGGATTTATATGTCACTTAGTATATTAATACAGTTA